TCCAATGCGTTCACCTCGCTCCATTTCTTTTCTGCTCTACTTTCTTCCTCTCTTTCTCTTCTCCCTCCCCTTGGACCCCGCCCCTCGCGTGCTCCCCCAGCGCTGGCCGGGCTTCACCGCATCATGACCACGACGTCAACGGAAGTGGTGCCATGGATATCATGCGATTCTCAACGCATCCGCATGGAGATATCACACCGCTTTGCGGGCGCTCGTGGCTTGATCTCTGTGGACGGCGTTCTACGCTATTCGCTCCCTCGTCATGGGCGGCGGCGGCGCGTTGGCGAGGGGCGCTTGCGCCATTCAAATTTCGCTTCCCTCCCCCTGAGTGTCGTCCGCCCGCGCGCGTTATCGTTGCCTTGATTCTGATTCGATTTCCCGCGCGTGCACGCGCGCGCGCTGTATTTTCCGCCCCTATGCACGCCTGCCCCTAGGCGCGAGGGGTAGAAGGGCATTCGCCGCGGCCATGCTGCTCCTGTACTGTACATGCAGCTGCAGGGCGACGATTCGGCGGCAGTGTGTTGCGGAGTGTCGTTGCGCACCGCACGCGACTACTGCCTGCGATCTTTTGGGGGCGCTTGCGCCAGTTTACCTTGCCTTGCCTTGCCTTGTGCATACCTCTGAGTCGCAACGAGTCGGAGTCTGCCTCTTTGTCGCATTTTTCATCTTCCCTCCCTCGCTATTTCTCATTTCATTTCATCATTTTTTTTCCCCCCGGGGTGCACGCCTTTCTTTCGTACTTCGCTCCTTCTTGTTCTTCCTCTTCCTTCTTCTTCTTCTTTTCGTGCTTGTTCTCCGCATCGATCTTGCCCTCGTTCCCTCGTTCCCTCTCCCCCGATTCCCTTTACTCCCCCACGATGCCGACCCTGAGCCCGAATCCGATTCGGACGCCCCCTGCGTTCGACTCCGTCCACTCACGATAGTGTGACTGCTGACGGCCTCGGCCTCAGCCTTCGTGTCGTGCGCGCCTGGAGAGTGCCCTGCGAGGCACGCGCCGCAATCGAGTCCCGAATTCATGCGCTCTGCATTTATGCACGCCGGACGGATTAGAGGGGGGAGGCGGAGGCGTGCAGCAAATGTTCAATCTGCGACGACCCGGACTCCTTCTCTTTCTTTTCTTTTCGTCCCTCTTTTTATCCCTCTTTTTTTGTCCCTCTTTTCCTTCCCTCATTTCGTGTGGAGGTGCGTGCGCATGTGCATGTGCGTGTGGGTGGGGGCCGCTCGGCGATATATGCGGGACGGTCCACGTCCAAGGCAGCTGCACGCCCGAGGATGGCGCGGACTTTCCTCGCCTCCTGATGGTGTGTGTGCGCTGTCCGCCCCGAGGGCTTACGGTGGGCGTCCGATTGCGCGCCCGGGAGAGTGGGTTATGCGGACGCGCAGTCCCCAATTTATGTGCGACGCGCAGATCCCAATTTATGGGGTGACGCGCAGACTTGTGCGCGACGGGCGCTGGAAGGTTTCCTTGCCCCCTCCTTCTTTTTCTGTCTCTCCGTGCGGGTCGTCTGTGTAAGGGCTGCACGGAGATACCCGTCCGTCGTCCGTCTTCCGTGCTCTCTTTCCTCTTCCCCGTCCCCTTTCGCTCTGCCTTGCTTTGCTTTTCCCTTTCCCCCCTTCTTCTCTTCCCGCCCAGATGTACCGTACCGTCTTGGCCTCTTCCCCCTTCCCCCCCGCTTTGCTCCCCCGACTCGACTGGTGGCGGTCGGGCTTTCCCTTCCTCAGTGCCTGCTGCTCTACGCGGGGACGCTGGGAGAAGGGCCACGGGCTTTGAGGGCGACGGGCGCGCTCGGGTTTCGTGGTACCGCAGTGCTGCCTGTCCCCCCCCTCCCCCCATGATCGTCTCATTGTGACGCTGGGGGGCTGTTTTCTGCTTTCCCTGCATCCATTCGTCTTTTCTGCCTTCCTCCTCTCCTCCTACCCGCCCGCCTCTCACCCCTTCCCTCCTATTGCCCACCCTCTTTGCCCTCCTATTCCCATTTTTCAGCGACTAATTTTTCGTTTTGTTTCAGCTTCAAATCCAAAACCCGCGCCACACCTCGCGCTCGCCGCCGCCCGTCGCGCACTCGATCCCGTCCTGTCTGCGCGCCGCCTCGTCTCCCTCGTCTCCACCCGCGCCTGGGTCTTCCACCTCCCCCTCCATCTCTGGACGCGCTTCCACTTCGGCAGCCTCACCCTCGTCGGCGCCCGGCCTCGAGTTCCCCTCTTCCCCCACCCCCGCCCCCCCTCCTCGCCACCATCTCCGCCGTCTACACCTCCCGCCCCCTCACCACCGTCATCTCATCCTCCTCCGGGCGCGGGCCGGCGCAGAAGCGCACCGTCCCGCTGCGCGCGTGCTGCCCCGAGTGCGCGGTGCGCGTGGGGGTCGCGGAGGAGTGCTTCAGCCGCGGGGCGCAGCGCGTGAGGAGGCGCGCCGCTATGTGTGGCATGGGCCTGAGCGCCGGCCCGGGGACGCTGTTCCTCGCCGCGCAGGCGGGGGGGTTCCTCGGCCCTGCTATTGGGGAAGGCGAGGGAGGGGCGCTGATGAGCGGGACGGGCCTGGCGGAGGTGAACCGGCTCGTCGCGGAGCTCGAGCGGAGACGGGCGAGCGCGACGCCGAGTCCGGTCGCGGGGACGCCGCCGTATACAAGCACGGGCGGGCGCGCGTCGCCGTATACGCACGACGCAGGACGGGCGTCGCCGTCCCTCCTCGGGCCGGCGCTCGCAAGGGTGGTGGAGGGCGGGGTGTACGGCGACCGGCTGACGCCGCCGTGTGCGGGGGGGAGTCGGGGTGGGAGCGCGCATGGGAGTCCGCATGGGAGTAGGAACGGGAGCGCACACGGCAGCGGGCGCGCGAGCCCGCTCCTCCCGCTGGGCATCGCGGTGGACGAGGTGGACAAGGAGAGGAGGAGGAGGAGCGCCGATGTGGGGGGGCTGAGGCGTGATTCGCGGATTCTCGCTGAAACAGACGAAGGCGACGAGGGAAGCGGGAGGGGGAGGGGTGTGCGAGTGCGCCGCCGGCGCTGACGGCGTTCCCGCCGCACCCGGCATTCGCGCCTCGGAAGGGCGTGCAGGCGTACGCGGACGACGACGACGCGGAGCTGTTCCCGCTGCCGTCGCGCGGGACGCCGAGCCCGCGGGGGACGCCCCGGCCGAGCCCGAGAGCGAGCCCCTGGGGGCAGTCCCGCGGGGAGCGAGCTGAGTGTGGATCGCGCGCAGCGCCCGGGGCCGGGGAAGGGGTCGCCGCTTGCGCCTGGGAAGGAGGTGGGGTATGTGAAGGAGACAGGAGAGGGAGCACGCGAGGGAGGGGAGCGAGGGCACTAGGGAGGAGAGGGAGCGCAGCCGGTCAGAGGCGGTGTGCGTGGCGCTGGGGTCGGGCGGGCGGCGGGAGCGCGAGGCGCGCGAGCGGGACGCGGCGATGGCGAAGTGCGGGCGCGGGCTGCTCTGCCGGGCGAGGGCGGCTCGGGGTCGCGCGAGAGCTCACGATCGCGGGGCAGCCTGAGCTCGGCGGACGAGCGGGAACGGGAAAGGGAGGGGCAGGACCAGGAGTCGCCGCTGCCGGTGCTGCCGCGGCTCGCGGCGGTCGTGCTCGCGGCGGGACCGTACTCGCCTGCGATCGTGCCGAAGGCGAAGGGGAGCCACCACATGCGCGTCGCGTCGGCGCCCGCGGAGGCGCCGTCACCGGTCGATGTGCAGTCGACTACACCTACCAGCCCCACTCCCACTTCCACCGCCCGCGGCAGCAGCAGCACCACCACCCCCGCGCGCACCTCTGCATCCACCTCTGCAGCCACCACAGCGGCCGCCACCGCGCCACTCACACGCACGCCGTCCACGAGCCCTCCGATGCCCCCGCCGCCGAGCCCGTCACTGCGGCGCGCGTCGTCGGCGGCGCGGCTGCGCTCGACGTCGACGTCCTCGGGGAAAACAGGGCGCAAGGCGTTTGGCGCGCTCGTGGACGTGCTCAAGGGCGTCACGTCGATCAGCGGGCCGGGCGCGGGGGTCGCTGTTTGAGCGACTCTGTGTGGCGCGCTTTTCCGATGCACCCCCGCCGCTTCTTCTGTCTTGCGCCACCACCGCCTTGGCCCGCCGAGTCCACCGCACCCGCCGCATCATCGCCACCCCGCACCTACACCCGCACCCGCACCCTGCACTGTTTCGCTCAAAAGTGCCACCTCGCAACGCATCGCACCGCACACGCCGCCCAAAAGCACCACCACCGCATACCCCCACCGTACCTTACGTAGTTCCTAACTGCTCTGCTGCTTTCGTCCCTCTCCCTCCTTCCTTCGTCATTCATCCTTTCGCATTCACCCTTGTTCCCTTCGCATTTCCTTTCGTCCTTTCGTGCACCCTTATCCTCTCAGCATAAGCACACACACGCACCGTCTTGCGATACACCGCATCCTCTCCTCGTCTCGTCTGTACATATCATATATACACACGTACATAAGCTCCATACATACATACATCCTCGCTTCCCTCCTCGCCGCGTGCGCACCCCTCCTCATCTCCTCATCGCCCTGTGTGCTCGCCTCCCGTAGCGTACCCCACCCATCGCCACTCTCGCACGCGCGTGCATACATACACCCCGCCACCCGCTCTTAACTAACTTACTGTACATTCTAGTCCTTTTGTACTGCGTTGTTCAATGCGCGTTTTTTGGAATTTCTCTTCTTTTCTTGTCGTGTCGTGCAATGGTTCTTTCCTGTCGTGCAATTGGTGTTTTTGTGTCTTGCCTTTGTCCTTAGACTCTGACTAGCGAGAGAGTGGCGGTGCGGTGGCGGTGCTGAGCTTTTCTTTTTCGCCGGTCGTCCTAGGTTCTCTGGCTGGTGGCTAGGGCATGCGCAGGAATATGGCGTCTGACTGTGGCTCTACTATACCTCTCCTTCGAAGAACTCTAGCCAGCTGGCTGCAGCTGGGCGACTGGTGTCTCAACGTCTCGTCCTGCAGCAAACCATAGATTCGACTGCAATTGAATGCACGGATGGTAGTTCAGGTTAGGTCTGGATAGCGACGGTAATGGCTTGGTGGCGAAGTGGTTACGCATCTGCAAATTGTACACACAGAGGCTACGTTTTGCGGACAATGCCCGTTCGATTCGGGCCCAAGCCTTGATTTTCGCAACCGGGAAACCTTTTCTTCCCCCGGATGCAATAAGTTACTAATGGCATCCACCAAGAGTTGAGCTTTGGGGTTGTCTACTGGTCTTTCGATGCGAGCCCTCTTGGTCCTATGCTTCCTTTTCTATGGGTGTTCGATCCGGAGGACATGACATGCAATTTCCATCGCACTGGATCAATTTTACCTTGGCTTGAATTCCTCCGAAGTCGGATATTTGCTTGGGAAGGGGCTCAAGCTCAAGTTGATGACGGCTTGGTGGCAGAGTGGTTATGTATCTGTGAATTATAGGACCCCGAAATGATTGCTTCTCCAGATAATGTCTGTTCAATTCGGGCCCAAGCCTTGGCTTCACTCTTTTTTTTTTTTTTTCTTTTCTTCCAGGCGCATACGTCACTATAAGAACATTTCAGCTGGAAATGAGCGCGCTGATTTTATACTGGTCAAACTGTGGTTGACCATATCCTCCTCGAACTCCGATATTTTGGATCCAAATTTTCGATTCCTACTGATTTCGATATCTTTGATCACAGATCCTCTCATAGAATAGAAATTTCGGCTTGGGACGAACAAATACTTCTGGCTCGCTGCAGCTGCCCCATATCCAATAGTTCAAACCTTGAACGGAATTTGAAGTTGAACCACGATGTGCTGCGATCAACCCATCACGGAACTATCCGAGTGCTTTGTTCAACCTTTGTTTCTTCTTTCATCTCCACGTCCACTCCATTCACTTGCCACCATGGTCCAGTGCGCCATCCTACACTGTTCTGAGGAAGGTGGACACCTAACGTCCATTCCGTGTCTAACTCTGTGCTCACTATTCCGAAACTTAGGCAAAAGCCAATGTGCGCGATGCAAAAGCGTCTTCTACTGCGGGGCCGACTGCCAGAAGAAGGTGAGCAGACCGAAACGTGTTCCGCCCCAACGTTTCGTCTCCTTATACTGGAAGGGAAGGACTGGCCCACGCACAAGAGACATTGTAAACGCGCCAATGCCACCACACCCAACATGGCTCCAATGTCCCCCTACGGCTATACATTCAACGTCTTCAGCGGCCGATCCATTCCTCTTTCATCGACCGTCGAATTCTTCTCCCCCAGTTTCGGATACGTCGCCGCTAGCCCCGCGCTCGTCTACGCGGACCTGGTCAACGCGTACCGCCTCTTGCGGCTCGGCGCGCACGACAACGCGACGCTTGTCTCGTGTGCGCTCCAGGGTATCGACTTCGGAGAGTGGATGGCGCGCGTGACAGGCTCAGGAATCCTGCCAGAGTGGTGGGATGCAGAGGTGCATACGGCGGGGATTGAGGTCTATGCGCGCGAGGATGCGTGGGGCAGACTGGACCGAGCGGTGACGCGAGACGAGATATCCGCCAGCTTGGCCAAGTGCTCGGAGATAATGCGGCTGGAGATGATAGTTGAGAGGATCATGAATACTAGTTGTTGATTCGGGATATTTTTTACCTTCCTGATGACGCTGAAATTTTGAAAGGATAGGATTCTAGAGATGATTTTGTGCCCTCTATCCTGAAATCCTCAAATAAGGGGAGCGCTACACCCCGAGAAGATAGAATCCTGGAGGTAAAGATTGTCGTAAATTAATGAGAGTGGGTATGTAATTTAATTAATGGATGTGGGTTAAGCCAACCACGAATCAACAGCTCGACGCGAACCCCTGGATCTTCACCCACATCCCGAAGCTTCGCTCATTGTCGTTGCTCTTCCATAGCTGGTCGTCGTACTCGAAGGCGTACATGTTCACGCTCTGTGCAGCGCAGTTCAGCCCCTTCAGCGCAGTGAGCTCATCCGCGATCGAGGCGACGCCGGCGCCGGCTTGCCCGCCGCGGGAGGGCCAGCCAGATCTGAAATAAAGAATATCAACACAGTCCGACGTATAAATGGTAGAAACGCACTCGGTGATGTACAAGGTCTTTCCAGGGCAGGCATTGCGGAGTGCTGGGAGGACTGTGTTGATGATAAAGTTGTTGGCATTGGAGGAGGTGGACGGGGGGTCGTAGAAAGCGCTGATAGATTCGTTGGTAATTACATGAGAAATCAGATACAGGATCAACGTACTGAGCATTGGCACCAGCAAAGTCGGCGCCACACATGCTCGGATTGTCGCGCTGCATGAGATTGGTTATTTGGTTTCAGGAAGGTTGAAATCAACGTACGATGAAATTCCTACCAGAAAATTAGTACGCGCTTCAAAAATCAAATTACGAGGACATACCAGGTGTGGACGGTGCTAACGGGGACATTGATTCCGATCGAATTCAGATATCCTTTGGCCAATCTGTAAGCCCCAAGGGCGAGACGAGAAAAAAAGTAACTGCGAACTCACCTCGAACGTCATACACCTTGGCCATGATATTACCCGCGCTGTCCCCGACCTCGTTTCCGACAGTCAATCCAACATATCGCCCGGCCCCGTATTTCCCAACAGCGGCACGGAACGTCTGGACATCATTGCTATGCGCCTAATCAGAACGAAACCATCGAGGTTGAAAAAGTGGGACGGACTTGATCCCGGTGATTCCGGCTGCGACGGTTCCCTGTACAGAGGATCAGCGTGATTTGAGATTATAAAGGGTGGATGCAAATACAGAGATATAGATCCCCGCGAGGACTTTAATGCCAGCTGCCGCAGCAGCAGTCGACGCCAAGTCCAGCGCGTTGCAGTCGAACCCAATGATGCGAATGGAGGTCATCCCGAGGCCTTTCGCGTCGTTCGCGACCTGGTTCCACTGCGCCTGCGTGCGGCAGGTGTACGCTCCGTTGTTCCCGATGCTGTTCGCGGCATTGACGCCAACGAAATGGTTTGTTCCCAATGCAACGAGCGGGAAGAGGAGGAGGGAAGCGAGGACGGCGGATTTCATACTAAAGAGAGTGGGGGCTTAATGGTCGACACATCCTATTTACGCCGTTTTATAGACTCGAGTTGCAAAAGGATACATATGTCACTTTGGATTTCATGGATCTGCACATGTATCGTCGTCCCGTGGCTACGATCAGCTGCCTGCGTGCTGATGAAACCGTGGGTGAATCTTGGGTGAATTATGAATACAGTATTTTCACAAGCCAGGCTCTGACGTACCGGAAGATTATCCGCGTCCAAACGCTTCAAATGCTCGGCGTTCGTTCGTCTAGTGTGCGGATGAGAGAGGGGGTTGAACTGATTTCTACAGTCGAGGTTTGAACTAAATTGAGAAATCAAGTTCAACCCTGTGTGTTAGTATTGTCGTTCCTCCACGGAGTTCTCGAGGACTCGGAGCTATTGATCTGAGTACGGAAGAAGATGCCCTAGACAATTCTGGGCATCGCGTAAATCCTTCCGTCCGCAGCCAAGGAACGCGATCGGCGGCGCAAGACAACAACCCGGTTGATCGCGATCGGAAGAAGGTGGCGATGCTGTCGGCCTAAAATGTGGCACGCGGATGACGCCAGGCCCGAAAAATTTTCAGAGGGCTTGTAAACGAGATACCTGCAGGCTGTGTGACGGCGAATCTGCGAAAATAGGGGGCTGTAATTCACTTAACCCAATGACACTAGATGACACTGTTCACTTATGATACTGAGTAGAGCGAGAGAGACGACGTATGTATTTGCACTCTGCTGCTACCGAATGGATGTTCGCCATGATATTGCGCGCTGGCAGTTCCCCCAGATACCGAGGTCAACTGGGGCAAATGGCGCACTGAGACCTAGGAAGAAGAAGCGATCGTCGAGAATTCAAGAACACACCGAGACGCAGACGAAGGGTTCATCCGGACTAGAAGAAAGAGTCAACTTAACGGTTAACGTGAGTAGCTCAAACAAAAACATACATCAGGCATAACACATGAAACAAGTGGATCCTCCGAAGAGGAATAGAGGGTGGAAAAATTGACACCACGACAGACCCAGAGTAGTCTGAATCGAGTTACATGGCACGCCGCCCGTCCAAGGAAGCGGGGGAAGCCGAGCGCCGCAAAGTGCACTAAAGGAAGGAGCAGTCCCGTCATCCAAAACTCCCTCCGTGTCTCCTCGTACGCCGCACACCACAACACTGCCCACAGACACCGCGCCGCCTCACAGGCCGGCGCGGCGCCGGCACGCCTGTAACCCCGGCGTGCGTCGCGTGCATCGAGGTCTACGTCCAGCGACCGTCGTGCTTGCATTTGTCGGGTTCGGATCCTTGTCACCGCGGATGGGAGATCTCCGGGTGTACCCCAATGCGCTCATTCGGAGACCGAATGACCGACATCCAGGTTGTGAGCAGCGCGAAAGTGGAGCGAGGCCGAAGCCAACACCTGGCGATAGCAGTGACCCGAGCCGGATATCCGTACACGGGACCTGCGACCGCCGTGCTCCCGAAAGAGCGCTGGCGTCGATTGAGACACGGAGCAGAATGACAGGGACTACACCTCCCAGTCCCGCAACACGTTTGAAGCCAGCCTATGCACACCCTCCCTCTGCGACGAGATCTTTGGGGCGAATCGACAAGAGGCGGTTTTCTGGTGCGTCGTTTGGCTGGGTAAGAGCCAGATCCGTCTAGGATCCATCAAGGGGACTAGAATCCTCAGACCTTCCCGCTCGGGTGTGGATGGAAAGTCCTGTACGGAACGAGCATCGCGGTTTTGGATCTGTCGTGGTGGTGGGAGAGAAAAAGATCTTATCGTGACATGAGTGTTTGGTCACGGCCTTGTTGCTCATCACTCTGGAGTTCAAATAGCGCCAAATGCTTGTAAAACTCTGGAAGCGGGGAATTTTCGCACTTCGTATGCATCCACAAAGCTGGAAGCATCACGCGAGACTGCTACGTCGAGTGAAATCTGAGGAATTGCGTCGAGCATAGTAGCCTCATGAAAAGTTCAGCGCACCCAGCGCACCTTAAGCTTGCAGCGCACTGCAAAGCATCGACCAATGGTCTTCTGATGGTCCAAAAGAAAATATGTTTAAAATTTCTAAACTCCCATAGCGACGGCCGGATCCAGGAAATACTCATACACAACGTGGAACTAATAACTCTCAGGCTCTTCCCTGATCAAGCAACAAGTTTGGTTGGATTAACACCGACGGCTGCAGAACCGATAAGAGTAGGAAAGAAGTGGAAATAAAAATGCTCACTGATGTACCCGATGATACCTAGGTGTGTGTAATGCAGGTTGAGATTAGTGAGCTGTGATGTTGAATTTGATACACGGGCTTACCCTCTGGCCAGTCGTCATTAATCGACTCAATGCTGCATAGAAACTCAACAAAGAATATCAGCGCCGATGCGAGGCACTTACTCGACGATGCTGCTGAATCCGTTCTTGCTCGCAGCGAGGAAAGACGGATCAGCGGAGTTCCTCATCCGGGT